TAGAAAATAGCCCTTTTTTTTTACTGATAAATGGCTCCTCAAACACCTAATGTCTTAAAATGCTATTTCTTTGTTCTAATTGGAAGAAATTCAAGCTGTACATGACAGCTACTTATATAAGGGGGAATCCACTAACAGTTATCATGGACCAGTATGTAGTATTTTGAAGCTACCTGTTCCTAAAATTGAATGCATAAGTAGAAATTGATTCTATAGAAAGTTATCTGTAAAAGATTCCTACTAATGATAGGATAATGAAAAAAAAAAAGGTTGCTGTTTTGTCAAGAAAGTGGTAACAGGAGGAGGGTAGCAGGTTTCTCACATCTTCTCACCTCCCTTGATAATGCATGCAGTGGTTCATCATAGGTAACTCATAGTAATATATTCCAGTGCACCTGTACAGGGCTGGAAGTCAGCTAACCTGACAAAAAGCGTGCTTCTGCTTTTTCAGTACAGCTACACAGAGGTCTATATCCATACAAATGTAGTTGTGGAGATATCAGCAGGTTTTAATAAACCACATGCAGATGTTTTGCTCCATACAAATCAAGGAGTTTACATATTTAAATCTGCACTGATTTAACTAGCAATCAAATGCATGATCACTGTTGGCTCCAAGAGTTGCCTCGTATTTATTTATAAGTCACCCTAAGCAGATGGTATTTTTGTTTTTAAATTTATTCCTGGGCTTTCCTTATTCTGTGGAACATACACACATGTACATGCTGTGAGAAAATTTTAAACCAAATCTGAACAATTAATATTACTACTTTAATAGTAGAAAGACAAAGTGAAAAGTTCTTGCTTCGCTCCTCTGAATAGTTACACTGAAAATTAATTTATTTTGTGTACGAGTGAAAGAGAAATGTGACATGTCATAACTGAGTTGTAGCCTAAGAAACACAGATGTTAATAGCGCCACTGCTGAGGCGAAATGCAGATTTAGCTTTCACCTAGGGCTGGCAGAAAAGATGTATGAATTTCTCCCTTAGATCTGACATAGCTCCTCAATGAGAATTACTGAGATCAGAAGATCCACTGGGCCTCTTATTATATTTTGTCCATATGCTTCTTGGCTCTACATTTCCTGAGCACCCACACCTCAGTGCTGGCTTTAAGGATCCACCACAACTATTTCTGCATAACGCACTGGTACTGTTTGCAGTGGCAGGAGTCACAGATGAGGCCAGGATGCAGATCCCAGAGGAACCCAACAGCCAGGGCCAGGCCCCATCTCCTCACTCATAAACAAACTCTTCTGAGTTTTTTTAATTACCTTTTGAAAGACAATTCTTTCCATTTGAGTGCAAAGTTCTCACGTAAACTTTTCTTCCCTACTTTCTCTTTTCCCACTAAAAAATATGTTGGAAGAGGCATCTTTCTGTTTAAAAGCAGACAAGACATTGCTCCTAATCACTGACATCAATTTCGATACGGTTTCTGTTACTATTTACTTTACATTGCCTTTCTGTAACAAGATATGGCCTGTATGTCTTGCCTTTAGAAAAAAGGACATTTGAAGTAAATACAGAAATAGCAATGGCTGAAAAGCTAATTCATGAAGTGGCTGGTGCAGAATTGAATAAAAAATGATTTTGGCAAGTGTAGAGTTTCCAGAAAATGAGAGACAGTTGTATTTCTCTTTATGGGGAGAGAGTCAGAGACATAGGTATGTATAACATTTGATGAGCGCTGTTATTTGTAGATGCGAAGACTGTGAACCAAAAAACAAAAATCCCTACTGAAAAAAAAAAAACCACCTAGGCTCAGTAGAGCTTGGACATTCAAAAACACTATATTTTAATTTCTAGAAGGGAAAAGAGAAGTAATTACTGAGACAGTGACAATAAGTGCAGGGACTTTGCTGTGCTTTCCTCTGCCCTGCATTGAAAAAATATGTGTAAGTTGGGGATTGTGAGTCTGCTGATTAACTTGATCCTCATTTACAAAGAATAGCAATGCTTAGTCAAAGATATCAGAAGATATTCCAACCATTCCAGCAGAAGAATATTCAAAGGATTTGGTCTGGGCACAGATGATCTAGGAATGGTGAAGCTCATTTTAGTCAAACCTTAATAGGCACTGCTGCAGGATGTGTTCTAAAATGAATAACTGCAGCCGTGACACGTGGATAAAAAACTCTCCTTCAGTGAAAGCAGAGCTGTTAGGTCCTGGTGTGATGTGCTGCCTGTGGTAATTATGTGTATCACAACCCTACCTCGCAAAGCTCACAGCAGCTACCACCACTGTCAAGAATTCAGAGTTCTTGGATGCAAGAGACATAGGGGGAATATAGTCAAACCTTTAACTGACTAGAGTTACATCAGCAAAAGATCTTAAGTGATGCCAGATGCCATTACACAAAACATAAAGGATCAACCAATGATATTTATCCCCAGATAAGCTTTTGTTTTCTTTTAAAACATTTCCCTAACTAGTTCTAATGTAATTAGTAGTAGTATTAATATAATTGCTAGCAATATTATTAACAAAATTATTAATAATAAAGATTAAAACCTCTCAAGACAGTAGGCTATGAGATATCTAGAACCTCCACTTCATTGACAAGATAGCACTAAAAAAATAATTTAATTTTAATTTGCAAAGCAAAGTATTTCTAGGCTTCTTTAGCTTACTAAGGGTCACTTGATTATGTGAGTGATAACACAAGAAAATCATACAGACTTTTTATAATGTGTCTGAAAGAATGAAACAGTAATATATAAGAATTTTTATCAAGAAGTGCTTACTGTGTGCTTTAGGTATTTCTTATTTCTCTTGTAGCAATTAATAGCAAAATGCCTCTGAGCTTTTAAGTGAAATTGATTTAAATCACTGGAAGAAGTTCTCATTTTGCAGTGTCTTTAATTTAGTTATACAGTTATCTTTGAGGTGCTGTCCATGATCTGAAGAGCTAGAAACTGTAAACTTATGCCTCTCTCTAAAATAAAAACACATACTTAAAAGGAATATAAGAAAAAAAAATTGCATGGAAAAGACTTTAGGGTGATTAAGCAGTTGCAAAAAGAATACAGATATTTCTCTCTCAAATCTCTAAAAGAATTAATGAGAACTATGACAGTTTTACTTGATTCTTTCAAGGTAGTTCCAGAAAAATTTGCAAATTGGGAATGGTAATGTATGTGGAAAAAAAAATCCAGCCAGAATGGGCACACTAACTGTACCACTGCTTCACATTTTTGAAGTCCATGACCATTCTTAAATCTTTGCAATTTAAGTTGTATTATGCCTAGGAATTTTTGTTGTTCTGATTGTAACAAATAAATGAAACATATTCTGGATGTTAATGGAATGATAGAAGGATGGCTTTGCATCTTATAATACTCAAAATAATAAGCAAATACTAAATTTATTTTTAAATATGCAGCATGCTTTTTCAGTTCCTGAATCATAGATTTTTATGGCTAACTTTCAATGAGCTTAGTAGGAGTATATCCTACGTAATTCACAAAATATTTTCAAAATGTGTCCTACATCCTATTTTAAACTTTCATTTCTCAGTGATATTTTATGTGTGTCATCATAGTTACCTCTTTGTTAGAACAGATACATCTTTACTATACTAAGCCTTAATTTATTTTTGCCTGCTTCATGTTCAATGGTTTCATCCTACTCTAAACCAAACTTCCTAGATGGTCCTTTTTATGTTGAACATGTTTTCTAACGTTTGTTCCTATTCTGCTTGGTGGACCAGGAGATATGAGACAGTTGGGGACTGAACTCTCCATCTCAGTCTCCTCAACAGTAAGTTGCTTTTATTTTGTATGACATGATACATTCACTTTCAAATCCCATCAACTTCAATGGTAAAAATAAAGGAGCTGTGCAAGATGTTTTACTAGGCTTAATTTCATTCCTCTGTCTTTTGAATTTTTACAACATAATGAAAAAAAATGAAACACAAATATAGGAAAACAGAGGACTCAGTCTCACTATCACTCCATGAACCATGGAGATTTTGTTATGTGACATATAATCATCACATGTGAGAACTTTTAACCACAACTATGAAATTACTGTGTTATTGTACCACATTGACAAATTCCATTTATATTACATTTTCCTCAAGATTGGAAAAGAATAGTGTATATTAAAAAACAAACAAACAAAAAAACCCCCAACAAAACAAAAAAATCACACAACAAAAAAACCCTAAGAGTTAAAGGACCAGCTGCTTCTGTTTAAGCCCAACTGTTTCAGTGCTGATGCAGCATAGTTAGGACATGATGTCATTTGAATATACCCTTGAAGATCTTAAAAATATGTAGAGGTCTAGTCTCTGCTCTTTGAGTGTGCTTAATTCCCATAAGTTGGGAAGAAAAGAAAGTGGACTAAACAACCATGGTGCATAGAGAGGTGTATATGTTCTCTAAAGAGAAAAAATTTTTCTACCTATTTACTTGTTCTTGCTACAATGTATCAGCTAGTTTTTAAAATTGAAGAGAAGCAAAAGTATTCTTTTATGTTTCATGTTTTCTTTTATATGATCCTACAGGGATGGAAATCATTCTTTTATTACAGTCCTTCAATTCTCTCTCTCCATCCATTCATCCAACTGTCCATCCATCCTTTTCCCTCCTTCCTACTTCTGTGGTTTGATGTGCATGCATGAAGACATTTCTATTGTGTATTATTTACTATATATTTAATAGAAGCTTTTCTTGATTTAAAAGCTGCAAGGAGAAAAAAAAATAAATGTAATGAACTGCAGCTTATAAACACATGTTCATAGGTACACTGAAAGAATAATGACATTTATTATCTTGCCAGTCACTTAAGAGCATGGCAAATATATACTATTCGGAATGCCAAGCAACAATGAAAATCCTGAAGTGATGAAAATCTCTCAATGTCATGGGAACACGATTGTCACTTGTCATTACTGTGCATCTCTTTCTTTCTTCATGTACCCTAAACTACCTATTCGTACATAATTCAACAGACTTAATAATGTAGAAAATCAATTAATATTTACTGACCTGTCTCTGCTTCTCCGTGATGGGAACGCAGCATTACAGCCAGCCACCGTGCAGACATGCATCTCTTTTAAATGAACATTTCTGTAGTGAAGCTTCACACTGTAGGAACTCTTGAAACTCTTCTTGCACACATAGCAGATCTTGGGGTCTGGGCTTGAGCACATTTCACCTTCTGGGGAGAATTTCTGAGGGCTGTTATAGTTGAACGTGGAAGCAAAACTTTCATGAAGGGCAGCCATACTGGCACTTCCTCCATTGTACAGTCCATATTGGCTCATGTAGAACATATCATATGTAGGGTCTGTATACTCTTCCTTCACCTTAATGACATCCTGGTTAGAAGAGTCATTGTGGTTTTCATCTGGTCTGTCACTGTGCATCATAGATTTTTCAACAGGTTCATGGAGGCGGTCATCACCTTCCATGGATTCTTCACACAGTTTGGGCTCTGACGATTCAGACTCATTTTCATAGTCTCTCTCGTGCTCCTGGTCTTCTGATGTCATACTGTCTGCTCTTCTTATATCTGGTCTGGAAATGCATCTGCTTCTGTCAGTTTTGGAAAAGTCTTTCACAGACAAGCCTGGGCTCATTTCTTCCTGAGAATGGCAGTGATTGTCATGACCAATGTCATTTACCATTGTGCTGCTGTCATTCACCTCTTCATCTTCATCATCAAATTCATCGGCAGTATCAATAACTTCCTTTTCTATTTTAACTGGCATGCTTGACTTCCTTGGCTTTTTCTTAGGGGCAAGGTCAGCATTAGGCTCTGAGGTGGGCATCAGCACTGATGGTACTGATGACTCTGTAGGAGGAGGGGGATGCTGCTCCATGCCACTCGCTGCTGGTATTATTGGACTGGTAGGAAGGGAGGTTGGAGGACTCACCATTTCTCCAGGAGTAAGTAAATTTCTGTAAAAAGGAGGAACGGGTTGAACAGTCTTTAAAGCTGGAAACACCAGCTGACTGGGAAGAGGATTCTGTAATACAGGATCTAGAGGAGGAGTGGTAAATCCCATTGGGGGACGCCCAGGGCTTGTTAAAGTTAGGTTGGATTTTGTACTTGCTATGACTGGGGTGGCAGCACCTGATGTAGCACGAATTAGATCTTTGTCTCGGTTATTTCTTAGCATAGGCATGTGGAGGCGGGGGTTAGGGTTAGCACTGTGACGATTGCGGCTTCTGAGAGAGCTGAAGACCATGTTGCAGCCCTCAATAGTGCACCGGTGCTTGATTTTCAGGTGAACGGCATTGTAGTGGATTTTAAGTGTACCTTTGTCATAGAAAGTTTTGCCACACGCATTACAAAACACTCTTCCTTTTCTAGAGGCAGACCCCATTCTCCTCATTCTGTGAATGCGGAATGAACTTTTAGTATGTTCCGTTTTCGATAAATCATTGACAGGCGTAGGTGTCTGAACAGGAGAGACACAGGGTGGCTCAGTTTTGGGTTCAACATTTGTGATGCTGGTCAAAGCATTCCTGCTGGACGCCTGCTCATTCTTGAAAGGCGTGGGTGAAACTTCAGATTCACTGCTCTCATTATATTCATTTTGAGCTGTAAGGCTTGGCTCACGGAGCCTCATTGCTGGCTGTTCCAGCAGGAGGCCATTTGGAGGCAGCCCCAACAGTGGAGCAGAGACTGGATTTATGTATTGGAATGGTAGCAGGAATGCAAGACTATTCGGGATGTTTTCAAAATGATGAATGCTGGAAGGGTTGCTATTCTCCAGGTGAGCAAGGAGACTTGGGCTCCTGGTGCGATTATTGCTTTCAATAAAAGTCCTTATATCTGAATCTGTCTTTGAAGATGGCACAGCCACAGCCTGCCCTTCTTTTTCTTGAATTGCCATCAGCTCCACAATGGATTTGGTTTCTCCAAATCTCAGGAACTGCTGAAGGGTAATGATCTCTTCTTCCCTGGACATTATGGCCCAGCGGTCCAGCACCTTGCCTGCAGCATCCTAGAGGCCATATCAAAGAAACAACAAAGACAAACACAAAGAAAAAACTTATTGATTCTGCATAATTATTGAATTCAATAGAAGGTGCTCTGCTGCCTGTGCATGAAATACTAAGCTCAAAAAACAACATGCAATCAGTGTTAACAAAACTCAACCAAAAAAGCAAACTTTTTCAGTCATGCAAATACCATTATTACAGTCACAGTTAGAGAAAAAGATTGAGTTTAATAACGTTAGAGCAAACAAAATGTAAAACACTGGGGCTCTGTGATCTGAAATGCCTTTGATATTGCTATTTTAAAAGCAGCAATCTATATACTACACAAGTATTTGGTATACATTTGTTGCTGTTCATTCCATTGTACAATATGGAAAATTGTACCTTAATTGATGTTTAATGGTATCACTATAAGAAAGAGCTAAGCAAATGAATTTGATAGATTTGCTTTTCAAATATAAGTAAACATACAGCTTAAATCATTTATGGACTACCTCACAAGAAATTCCGATGCAAGGCAAGCAGTCTCAAAAATAGCACGTAATACTGGTATCTTCCTCCTTTTTTTTTTTTTTTTTTATTTTTATTTTTCATGACAGCAATACTGAAAAACACATTCATTATAAATTTACATAAAAAGGCAGAAATAGAGAAACTGTTTACAGCATAACTGACTTGCACTCTTCATATGGCTTAGACTTAAAGGATGATTTTTTTGCTATAAATGACAGTTAAAAATATGTAAAAAGTAAGCATCTGATGGACATAGCTAGTATAAATGTGTAAAAATGTTGTCTCTTAACACTGCCTTCTGATACCAAGGGAAAAATCCAGAGAGAATACACATCAGTAATCACTAGACTATCTGTTGTTAAATATACATTAAAAAGCATTTCACACTTTCATTTTTGCTAGTAAGCATGAGATTTGCCTGAAGGTAAGACTTAAAAATTCTGCAATGTAATGTCAGGCAATCCATTCCACCATGTATTGATAAAAAGATATTAAAATACTTATATAATGAATACATCATTTTATTGGCATCTTTCCTTTCGGGCAAGTTCTGGACATAACATCAGCACGGTAACTATAACCAACAAGCACTGTTGCATGCCATCAAATCAGAATTATTCCAGTTCTTCCTCATGCATTAAACAGTTTGAAATCCTTGCAAAGATACCCCTCTGTATTGTCTCTGATCTTTTTAAATCTTGACTCTCAGCTTCAGAACACATTCAAACATTCTGGTTTACACATCACTGCAAAAACCTCCAGTTCTTATTTGATTAAGAAGGCAGCAAATATCTTTCAGTTTTTGCAATCTTTATTTATTTATTCGTTTGTTTTCAGAGTATTGATTCTTTCCTCCCCTCCCCAGAAGCTTCCTCTAGAGCACTGGAAAATGCCATTTGCCCCAAATGCATTTATTTGATTAAATCTTTATTATTATTATTATTATTTTAGCTCTGATACGTGTCACCTTTCTAAATCCAGAGTTAATGGTGAAGGTCGATGCCATGTACGCTTCAGAACCTTGCATGCCAATGTAGAATGTTTTGAAAGGTTCCACGCACAATAGATCACGATGAAACATTACAAGACTATGAAACCATCAATGGTAAATAATTACAGAATATCCTTAGAAGAATTCTCACTGCATTCATAGAAATGTAGAGCACCAGAACCAATCTCTAAGAAGAAATTATCCAGCATGCATTTACACTGAAATGAAAGAAATGCCATCATGCAGATGCCGGCCCTGGTCTGAAGTATTAGTCAGGAAGCGTTCACACCTTTAAATACCTTTGAGCACTGTGGACATCCATAATTGTTATGCTCCCCCTGTTCTACCAGTCAGATGGAGGAGCATTTTAGAGGCGGTCTGCTATCTAGTAAAAATCATTCAGAACAAAAAACCAACAAGAATAATACCCCACAAACACCCAACAGAAAAAGAAACAACACAGAGAACAGGTTTACTTTTGAAAGCTCTAAGATTATATTTTGCTCACTTCCCCCAACTTGCTTTGATTACTCTCCCCATGAATGCCACCTAAATTTCCTTGCATCAACTTCTCCTGCTACTTCCAGCTAGCCATACTGGTTCTGCTTTTGAGCAATTCTTGTGTGAAACTCAAAAAACAGTCACCTGTGAAACAATTTATGCACACACATTCCCAATCTGAAGCCACAAGTATTTATTGCTTCTAACTGTAACTTGAAGATGGAAATAACACTGTCTAATTTACACTGCTTGCATGTATTGAATTAGAACCCCTGACTGCAGCCAGCTGCAGGCTGCTTTGTAATGTACTACTGGTAGTAATTTGTTTTGTTTTTGCTTTAATTTGTAAATCACTCACAGGCTTATGTAGCAGATGGATGTTTTATAAAAACAGATATTTAAGTAAATAAAAATTAGATACAGCTCCTATGAGAATAACTCATGGGAATAGTAGGTACAGGTTCTGTAACTGCCACACATCAGTGGAAGATTACTTCGCACAGTCTCCCATCCTATGGCTGCAGATCTAGCTTTCTCTGTGCTCTGAGCAAGGAGACAATGCCCAAACACTGGGCTCTGTGAATGCTTTTGGGGAGGTATTCCACAGCAGAAGTCAGAGATGCTGGCAGTTGGCTACACGACCTAGCCGTCCATGAGATGCTACCGTTTTCCATCCCATTCAGTCAATGACAGAACATTTTGGGTTTGCAATGAAGAAGGACAGACTTTCAGCTGTTGCTAAGTGCTACAGATCACAAAATTTGGCTGTCAAGTAGTTGATTGTCAAGGGGTTACCTTCACTGTCTCATAAACAGCAAGGTCTCAGAAAGCTGGCCTTAAACACTCTCCGCCTACTTATACTGGTTGCATCACGCTATACCTGGTTAATTCACAGCAATCATTTTTATTTCCCTAGCCAAAGTAAAAAGATATTGCACAGATGTCCATGCTTCTTACAAAACATACTACCTATGGATACTGTATGGCATATGCTTCAATATTTACATAGTGATGGTTTTCCATAAATCATTTTAAGTATGTACTATGCAAACCTAGATAAAGAATGAATAGGAATGTCATTTTTTGATAAAACTTAAAATTAACAAAAAATCTAACCATTATCCACTTTGAATTAAGCTATAACTAGCTAGGGATCTCTCTGTATATGGTAATACTTGATTAGAAGTTCAAGTCCTTTCTTACATATAATCGATTTCTTGTTTCTTACAATCTCTCATGCTAAATTTTTTCCCCAAAGCCATTAAATCATATCCACATTTAAATATTCCACGACAAAAGGTTCCAATTTATATTACTTTTTTCAGCTCACAACTGATTAAGCCAAGCCTCCTGTGACAATGTGTACAGCGAAGTCAGTGAACAGAGAGATACCACGGTGCGCATACAGCTTTACACCACGCAGTAGACAAGTAAGCCTGATTTCTTCCTTCTTCACCCATAGAGCCTTGTCTTTTTAATTGTATTTTACAAGCGTGGCTAGCTCTGAGTTTCAAACAGAAAAATTTTTAATCCCTAAATCATATAAAATCTAACCTTCAAGGATGCAAAACATAACCTTGGATGTTTTTCTTAATCTAAACACGCACTTGACTCTCTCTCTTCCAACACATATATGTGTATTATTTTTATAGATAAAGATTCATATGCACACAAACTACATTAAATCTAGGCAGCAAAGGTGTAGTTAAATATGCTGAAGTTGCCTCATTTTTTGCTGCACGTGTTACAAAGAGATATGTTAGGATACATCTTGTCTTAAACTTCTACATCAGACAGAACAAGCGATGGGCTTCAAGATGATTCTCTTGGATGGTACAAACATGCTAAAGCAGAAGATGGGCACAAAATTCACTCTAATTTGTAAGAGCTTAATTGACGAGCACTATGAAGAAGATTCTTCATTTCCTGAGGGCCTTTAGGTTTTACAAATTTTAACCTTTCAATTCATCTTGAAAACCTTGCAATTTAAGAACTGCTTACTTAGAAAATAAGGATGATCTACAGAAACATACACCATAAACATACATTGTAAGCCTTGAACTTTGGTTCAAAATCAGTTTTTTAAAGTCTCACTTTGTATAAGAATCTGTATCAACCCCTGCATGCCTGTACAGTGTTTAACTAAATTTATACACAGGCGCAAATATACATGTACATGTACATACACATCACAGACTTTTTTGCAATTCTTCTTTTATCTTACTAATTAACTTTTTGGCATAGGTAAAATAAAGTGTATATATGCTGCTGTCTGAATTCATAGTAAGAATTACAGAAGAGTTGAGATTACTTGGAAGGTTAAAAAACTCTACAGTTGCTTCTTAAGCAAGGCTTTTGTGCTCAAAGTTATAAAGAAAAACACAGGGCCAGCTTTTGTATTTTACAATTTTTGCATATGCACTGTGAACTGTTGGTTTTATGCACATCAGTTAAGTATCCACATTGCAAAATATTACTTGGATATGTATTTGATTAATTAAATAAGCAAGCTTGGTGTTTAAAATATCACTTTCTTGTATGAGCCCTTCTTAAAGAGCTATAAATTTTCTAGCTCAATCTCTAAAAAACATTTTGAATGCAGCTGTAACAATTGAAAAGCAGACTGAAAGACATTCATTTGGTCATACCATAATTGCAAAGGATGGTTTTAATTAGGGTGTAGACAGAAGAAAAAAATCAACATTTGTTTCTAATAAAGAAAAGCCTACATAATTTCCATGATTTAGGGTTTGTTGTTTTTGTTTGGCTGAATTTCCCAGGAGCATCTCTTTGCTTCCCAATTAAATTTCAAGCTGTTACGCTATGGGTAGTCCTACTGCTCCCGGGGCAAAAGCAACCAAAGCTGTGTAGCAGCACACCCACTTACATCTGTAGGGATATGAGTGGAAATGTGCAACCCTCTGACTTCAATGCAGCAGAAGTAAGCCCTGTATTTGGCTCTCCATATGACCGTTCACATACTCATTTTTCTGATAG